TTCAATTAATTGCCTTTGTCAAAATCTGGTTGTTAAATATCTTATGCATCATCATCATCGGACCATTGTTCTTCCTCACACTCATCCAAGTCGATTTCTACACTACCAGAAGGTGTCTTTTGCACATGAGTGGCATGAAAGGCCGAAAATGGGAAAACTAAAACTTCACTTTCGGCCTGAATATTAGACAGTTGTTCAATATCGTATGCCGTTGTTCGGTTTCGAATTTTGTATATGCAAAGAACATTGACATGTGTAGAATCTTGTTTCGACGATGTTTCATATTCTTGAATACCAGCAAATGTCTCGGCTACAGTACGATTTTTCGATGTTGAAAGAAAGGCTGTGTTGAGGACGCGAGAGCCGACCACATATTTATAAAGATCTTCTTGTGTCATCAGCATATCACGATATACATGTCCCGTAAATGATATCCGAAAACGAATGCTGTTTAAAATCATAGCAACAATACTAAGAAGATAATAAATGAAGCTATATGGAGTAGATATGTCGAATGACGAATCAAAATAGGTCAATGCATATGTGGCCAAATGACGATTGATATATTTGTGGAAACGACTAGTACTTGTATAAGCACAAATAAATTCATCAGCAGAAGTGTACCCTATTGACTCAAGTTGATCAATTTCTTCAGTAGGGAAGCCTTCAAGTGCTAGATAACAGCGAACATAACGGCGAGCAATATTTGTAAAAGAACCATTGATAAAATGATTACGAGCAAGATATTGACGAATCTGAGGTCTCTTGATGGCTGGTTCTCGATAAGCTACAGTCCACTCGAACAAGTCACCGGTGAAGCGAGGTAGTACACGCTGATACCGAGCAAATATTTCTTTCGTTTTTTCGTCTTTTGTTTGATTAAATGGTGTTGAGCCATCTTGATTTCGTTTCGTCATTAAATCACCATGTTCGAGAAGCAATCGAACAATTTCATGATATCCATGATGAGATGCAATGTTAAGCGCAGTATTTTTTTCGTACTTCTCGGCTCTATTTAAATCATTTATAGTAAACGCTTTGAGAATCTTGCGAACATGCTGAATATCATTGCGTTCACAGGCATCATTTAGTTCTCTCACAATTATCATCATTTATTGTCCAACTTCGGTTTTGGTCATGAATCTATCGTTAGCCTACAATATACAGATAAGTTGAGAAATGTGAACACCTACATTCTAGCTGGTTTTTCAGAAAAATCACTCTGATTTTGTTTAATTCGAGTTATGTCATAGGATTTTTTTTTCTTGAAAAGACTATTATATAAAACATAGATCAGTCAAAGTTTTTGATAGTCAATATGAGACATCCAACTCTAAGATTAAAAGTGAGTGGCTTCATTCTTTCTTACTGAAGATAAGTCAAACATGGGTAAAGTGTTCCGAAAAACAGTATGATAGACTATCTCACAAATCAATTAATACGAAAATATTATACCTCTACGGATTGCATTTGAGTATGACGTTCTTGAGATTTTTGAAGTAATGCTAGTTGATTATTTGGGTCTTCATCTTCAATATTGTCATTTGTCTGATTTGTTTGAGTTGTATGTGTCAGCCATTCTTGAAAACCATCAACTTGTACTTGTGCTTTACCGTTAAGTCGATTATTTAGTGTATACATTAATTTAATCATTTTCGTTACATCATTTGGTTGTCGTTTATCGATAGCATAGTGAGAAAGAGCAACAGGAATGCGATACAGTAAATTCGGTATATCATTCCAACTCCGCTTGCTACACTCCTGATAGATATTCAAATAATTGGAAGCTTTTGTCATTGAATCATTATCACTGTTTTCGAGCTTCAATAATAACAAGAATAATTGCCAACATGCGTCATTGAATGTGCTGTCAAATTCAGAAAAATCGATGGTAGATGTCACTAATGCTTCAAGAATTTGTCGTAGACATGATTGTTGCACTACGAAACCAAGTTCGATAAGAATAGGAATCAAATGATGGTGTGACTTGAACGCATACTGAAGTTCGGCTTGTCTTTTTGAGTCGCTTTGGTAATTGCTACTTAAACAACAAATAATACAGTGAGTCTTCAAGTTAGTATTCGGATCTGTCAGTTTGGCATTGAATTCCAGATAATATCTTGTCCACTTTATTTTGTTGATAATAAGCTTACACTTTGGCTCATCGGTGGAACTGCAGTGTATAATAATACGACCCTTGGCATGGATATTTCGCACTAAATGAACACATACTAGTATTTCTTCAACTGTAACCTTGTTAGGTCAAAAGAAACTGGCAAATATAAGCATGTACACAAAGCTGAACTTAATGAGCCGAGTTCCACCATAAAAAAGTCATCCCTGCGCTTCAGTCTAGGGTGTGAGTGTGGGTGTGGGTAAGAGTATGAGTAGAGCAGGGTGGGTCCGGGTGGGATTGATGGAGGTGGCTGTGCATCAAGGCGTCACTGAGGAGTAGATCCTCACCTACACACACACACCCTAATCTACATAACACATAATTTCCAACAAGGTTCAGAAGTAACCAACATTCTGTATAAACCAAATGAGATACTAACTTCGTTCGGATTTCACGAAAATCCATTCTTCCGCAAACATATCATAGTATCCATAGTTGAAGTAGCGAAAAACCCAAAAACCTCAATCGCAAAACACTATTAAAACAAGAAGAACAATCTGACTTGTTCTTTCCGAAACCACAATCAAAATCAAACTAATCAGCGAATATTTTTCGCCTAGTCCTTAAATAAAAAACAGTTGTGCGTGTATCCACGATACGACCTCAGCTCACAACGAATAGCAGCCATGCACACAAAAATGACACTTACCAACAATAATTCAGTGGACTTGCCGTCCGGCGTATGATATTCACCAGCTCCACATTCCTTGTATACTTTCAAAAAACCGAATGCTTATCATCATAGATACATTCATCAACCTACTACACCAACATGAATAAAAGCAACTTCAATAAAAGCATCAAGAACTACTACATGAAACCATGCTTCGCAGAAAAAAGGCCTCCCATAATCTGGGTTACATGGAAGCACGATATGTAAGGAGAACCCAAGGGGGAAAGTGCTGGCACCCAGCACCCTGGCACCTCAGCACCTGCTCAGCACCTCAGCACCTTTTCAGCACTTTTTTTGATAAATTAATTTAGTTCAATTATATAGAAATAATCCACAAAAAGAACTTTATTTTCAATATTCAAGAACACGTTTTGTTTTAAATACACACACAGTGTGAAAAAGCCAAGTTTTTAAACAAAAATAAGTATTAGAATTTTTTCATAATACTGAATCAAACAACAAAAAACCTATTTGAATCAAAAAGAATATGCTTTTTTCTTATCGTCCTTGAACACGTTGTAATCGATCATTTGACAAGCGACTTTTACTCGTTGTTAACAGCCAGCAGGCTGTCTGCTTATGAATATATTTCACTGATGAATCAATATTAATTCGAAAATATTTTTTCATTTGCTGTGGATTTATCCTATCGTATATTCGACATCCTTTAAAATTTTGTTGTGATATATTAGAAAGGCTATTTGATATGATATTTCCTTCATTATCGTCATATTCATCAATAATATTTGGTATTTGATCATCGTCGTCAAAAATATCTTCATCATCTTCGAATTCATCATCATCTGAATCTTTGTCAGAATCATCATCTTCTGAATAATCTACTATTGTTGAACATGATTTACTTAAAACTGCTTTAACAAATTTACTTAATTGAGGTAATGAATAAATATTTTTATCTTTCAATAATGAGGTCATATTAACCATTGAAACATATTCTTGAGCTGTTTCAAATGCACAGTTGATAATTTTTTCAATATCATGTTCTGTTATATTTAATTGTTGAATATTCTTGAAAGAATAATTAAGTATTTCTTTATTATTTTTATGATGTTCTGGAAATTGAAAACTATATTCTCCCATTTGATCACCACGACCTTTAATAGAATTCATAATGGATATTTTTTCACATCTTTTCAAAAATGATTTAACGCTAAAATTAGTAATAGATGAAAACGAGCCCGCCATTGAACGAGCAATACGAAAAGTATTTTCGCATATTTGTGAATTAAAATAAAAAGTATTTAAAGCTTCAATTGGTAATTTTTTTTTAATAACTAACAAAATTATAAAAATTAATGTATGTGCATTTATTTCGATGCACCAAAATGTTGGTTTTGTAATAAATGTTCTCTGTTTGAGCTTTTTTATTGATTGAGAACTATTATTATTATTATTATTATTATTATTATTATTATTATTTTTTCTAATATTATTTATATCTAAAAATTGAACCCACGAAAACCATAAACGGCATATGAAGACAACAGTCCATATGTGGAATAAACGTTCTTCAATGGTTGCTGACTTATTTATAAATCCATGTATAAGTAAATTCAATAATGTTAAATATACATATGTACCTTTAGCATTGTCATTCTTATTCAATAAATTTAAGACTAATTCAGATGATATTCGCAAGCAAGAAGAAAAATTTTGGCGATCTTTTGCATTAACATCAGATCTTATGAGATTGTGTTCGATTTTACTTTTTGATACTATTAAATGAATTAAATCTTCAATATCAATTGAATAATTTCCCATTCTCAAATTTGCTACTGAAGAGAGAAGTCTGTTACGAAGTTTAGTCAAGATATGTGTTGGGTCTTGCATAAAAAGAAGTACTTGTTGTTGTTTCATAAAAAACCAAGACCAATGTTCAGGTATTTTTATAGCAAATGGATCACTATTCTTGAATAAATTCAAATTAGGTAATTTAGCAAAAAAACCGGAGCATAGACGCATTGCTTTAAGATAACGAGAATCACCGTCTGTACTAAAACCGATTACTCGTGTACCCTGAATTAAACTTTGGTTATAAATAAACAACCATCTTTTGATAACATCAATTGCTTCGAACTGGTTATTCGAACCATAAGCAGATAAAATAATAGGAGGTGCAGATGGTGTTAAAGATTTTGCCATATAAAGATTTATAAATTTAGATATATCTGTTTTATCGAACCAATTCTTCAATACATCAAAACTTTCTGTACGAAAAAAATTCAATTGTGGTAACCCATTAACTAAAGGTGATGAAAAACCAATAAAAGTATTAGACAAAGCATCATACTCAACGCATGACATTGAACGAGTTGCATCTTCAGCTACAAAAATGAAATTACAATTAGCTGATCGTGAATATTCTTTTAACAAATTGAATCTAAATTCACATTCAATCATCTTGTATTCTTGACTTCTAATTAATAATTCTAAATTAGATACATGAGGCAATGCTGCCGGCAAGTTTAATCTAAGAAATTCATAACAATTTCGACCTCCAAAAATAAATATCAATAATGCAAATTCTCGAATATGATCATCATAACTATATTTATTTTTTGTTTTTTCTAAATTTTTAAACACATTCGTAATCCATGGAAATAGAATTGGAATATTGGTTTCATTTGTTGAACTAGATGTTTGCTTCCATATTTCTAGAAGTTTTTCTTGAATTTGATTATTATTATATTTATTTGTTGATTCAATATTTTTAATAATGGAGTTCTTTTTACATTTTACTAACATTAATAAACGCTCTAATAGATTACGATGACCAAGTCGAAGATGAAAACCTCCATCAGTTGTTACAAAACCAAGTGATTTTCTCAAATAACTTAAATCAATTATTTCAACAGTAAGTATTTGTATTATTTGATCCACGGTGACTGATGATAATGATGACATATTTCGAATAGCCTGAACTCGGAAAAGCTCACATAAATCTTTATTTAATGTTACTTCAAGAAAATTATAAAATTTATCATCACATAAATTCATCATCTCATCTGTTAATTCATTAAGTTGAAAAATGTCCATTCTAAATATTTAAGAAATAATATTTATTTTTATACAAAAAAAAACTGCTGATTGTATACCTAATGATAACTAAAGCCCAAATATTGAAAAGAGAGAATAAATCGGTTTATTCAATATAAATTCAATGGTTTATTATTCTAAATAAAAACAGTTGTAAATATAAATAGTTTCGCTTCCAATACAAAATAATTATCTACTTTCTCTCCATAAAACTAATATATCAACATCACTATGAAAAAAACTTTTAAGCAAAAAAAAAGTATAATATGAACAAATAATAAAAACAATAGCACATAATAAGAAAATACATAATATATCGATAGAATGACAAAAAGAAGAACATGAACTTTTTTTACAAGATAATGTTATTTTCTATAATTTAGGACAGAAATATATTACTATTATTTGTTAAAGTCAATTGATTTCTTTTTGGCATTCGTCTTGCTACTATTTGAAGGTGTTTCTCTTGATGGTGATCGAAGCCGTTTGGAAGTTATAGATGTTTTCTTCAACATTGTATTTGATGATTTCGAAGATGAATTTGGTTGATTTTCTTTATTAATTGATTTATCATTTGTTGTAGTTGTCTAAATATTCAAAAATTCATAATAATCATTTTTAATGAGAAGTATTTACCATATTTGATAATTTTATACAATCTTTTTCTTTCAAATGGCGATAAAATGAAGATAACTTAAAATAACCAGCTGCTAAAAAAGGTAATTTAAAACGAATATTGCACTGGCATGTCAAAACACAAGCATATGTATTGTTAATTGATTTGTTGATTTCTAATGAGTAATGTGTACCTTCATCCAATAATACATTATCATTATCACCTTTGATGTACCAGTTATTGATTCGATTTTTGATATCGAGTATATGATCAACCTCATTAGTCATATTCTTTATTGATGTTGATGTTAATGTTGTTAAACATGTATCACTACTTGATGGAGATAATGGTATAGCTGATGGTGAAATTGCTTGATTTTGAGATTGTGTTTGATTAATATTTGTTGATGTATCAATATTAGATGGTGGACGATAATTTAAAGGTCGCTTCTTCTTTTTTTCTTGTTCTTGTTTGATTTTTAATAATTCGATCAAACTATTTATTGCAAGTTTAACTCCTAATTTGATTTGGAATTGATTATTGGCAAGTCGAAAACCACATAAGTTTTTCAATTGATCAATATCATCGGAATCATGTTCTAAAATTGATAAAACTTGATCAGCTGTACAGTGCATGAGATGAGATGCATTTCGAATTGCTTGAAAAGTAAATAAATCAGCAAGATCATTACCGTACCAATATTTAATAAATTCATAAAATTTATCTTGATTATAACTAAAAATATCATCTGGTAATTTATTTCGGTTTTCAGACATTGTAAATGATGTAACTAATTGAATATTTATCTAAAAATATTAAATAGATCATCATTAACAATATATATAAATCATCGTTCTACATCGAAACAAATTGCATCATCGATTCAAATCGGTAAATTTCTCATTGGACACAGAGAACATTCAATAGGATTATGATATCGAAATAAATCTAATAGAGAACGCTATTAGGCTATGTCAATAATAGCCGTTAAAACAGATAATATCTTCTAAATTCTATAAGCACCTCAGCATCTTCTCAGCACCTCAGCATCTTCTCAGCACCTCAGCACCTTTTCAGCACCTCAGCACCTTCTCAGTACCTCAGCACCTTTTCAGCACCTTTTCAGCACCTCAGCACCATCAAGTACAATTTGGCACTTGGTACCTGCACTTTCCCCCTTGGGAGAACCAAACTCATAACAGCATCAATTACGACATACAAATCAGCACGAACAACCTCCTACACTCTCCTTTCAACAACGAAAATATCGGAACATCTATCAAAGTATGGAC